GGTAATCGCATTGAGTGGCAATGCGTCGCCTCAGGTTGAAGTCCAGAAAGCAAGTGAAACAATCGGTTTTCCTCAGCCCGTTTTCTGGTGAAACACCCCCATTGTGGGTCGCTTGTTGCGCGCGCTGCATGGGGAAGGCATTGAATGGCAATGCGCCGCCTCATGTTGAGGGCCAAAGGCCCCAACGCCACCTACTTCTATACCATAAGGCCCGAACATCCGAACACCCTGCACCCATCGTGCCCTAATGCCCAAATGTCTTAGTATCGTAATTTGCTGGTGCCCTAGTGCCTTATTACCTTAGTGCCAGAATGCCAAGATACCTTATGACCGCGCGACCCTGATACCCGAAGGCCCTAGGACCCCAAGGTCCGAACACCCCATGGCCCTAGCGCCCGAACGCCCGAACACCTAACGCCCTGAGAGCCTTGCGCTGCTCAGCACCCAAGACCCTAACGCCTTAGGACTTGGGGGCCCTGAGACCTTAACGACCTAGGACCCTAAGACCATATACCGAAAACCTGAGACAATGAGACCCTAAGGCCCGTGAGCCCTACGGCGCTAAGACCCCGGGGCCTGACTGCCCGGAAGCAGTGAGACCCTGAGACCATGAGACCCCGAGACCCTAAGACCATGAGACCGTAACACCCTAACGCCATCATACCCAATGCCCTAATACCATAATGCCTTAAGACCATAAGACCGTAATGCCCTAATGCATTCATTCCTTTACCATAATACGCCCATGCACTAACGCCTTAAGACCATGCGACCCTAACACACGAGTACCTCAATACCATAACACCATGATGCCCTCAGGCCCGAAGACCCTGACAACATCCGGCCCTAAGACCATACTACCCTCATACTTCAAGGCCCTATGACCCTAGCACCCCAATCATGTAGTACCAGAGTGCCCGAATGCCCTAGTGTCCTAAGACCCTGGGGCCCTGTGACCCTAAGACATTAATGCCCTAGGTCCCGAACTTCCCAATACCCTACTACTTCGAGCTCCGAATACCCTAATACCCGAATGCGCCAATGTCCTAAGGCCTCAAGACCCTCAGGCCCTCAGGCCCTGATGCCACAAAGACCCTCGGGCCCTAATACCACAAGACGCTAAGACCCTAAGACCCAAAGACGCCGATTCCATAAGACAGTAAGACCCTGATACCATAAGACCCGAATGCCCCAGTACCCAAACGCCCTAAGTCCCTAATGCCCGGAGACCTTAAGACTACGCCCCTTATACCTTAATGTTTTCACACCAAAATACAATAATTTCCGAATGCCCGAGCACCCCTATGAAACCATACCCTAACACCGGAATTCCCTAATACAACAATCCATAAAAAAAGCCAGAACACCATAATACTTTAAGGCCGTGAGACACTACGACCTTCAGGCCCTCCTACACGAAGACCTTCATACACCAACAACCGAATGCCCCGATACCCCGTGCCCCCAGACTCGAAGACTTAACACCCTAATGCCGTAACACCCGGACACCATAATACCTCAATGTTCTAATGCCCCCCCAAAAACGGTGCGCACTTATGCCCGAACGCCCTAATCCAGAAATGGCATCATACCCAAAGACCCGAATACATTAAGATCATAAGACCCCAATACACTAATACCCGCATTCCCTAATGCCCACTACGAATTTCCTGGGACCCCAATTCCTTAAGACCAGGATACCCGAATACCCGAACACCCTAATGCTCTAAGACCACAGGGTGTGTTTCGCGTGTCTGGGCAACCCCGATGGGCATCTGACATGGTAGCCCCGAGCTGGAGCCTCGTGTTCTGACGTGCCCAGGCCACCCATAGGGGTATCTAGCGTGGTTGCCCCTAGCTGGAACCATTGCCTCACGTGTCCAGGCCCCGCGGGGCGGCATCTGACATGGCGGCCCCGAGCTGGGCCCACGTGTTTTCACGTGTCCTGGCCGCCGACGGGGCATCTCACCTCAATGCCCTAAGACCTTGAGGCCAATAAGACCTTAAGTCCTGAAGACACTAATACCTTAAGACCCTCACCCCGAAGGAGTTCCACCGAGGGTCCACGTGGGGCCGCCCGCGTGCGTCATCCGCGCCTATTTCGGCACGGCCTCACACGTTTCGTGGCCCCATTGGGAGCTCCGCCGAAGGTCCCAGTGGGACCGCCCGCATGCGTCACCCACGCCCACGTTGGCACACCCCGCGCGCGTTTCGTGGCACCATGGGGAGCACCACCCGAAGGCCTCATTGCCGCCGCCCGCATGCGTCACCCACACCCATGTCGGCACACCCCTCGCACGCTTCGTGGCCCCACGTGGAGCTCCACCGAAGGTCGCAGCGGGGCCCTCGGTGGAGCTCCACGCTGCGTGGACATGGTCGGGGCCCCAGGCGAGCTCGTTGCGACGGCCCCCATTGGTTGCTTCGCGCGGCCTCGATCACAACGACAGGAGTCGCGTGGCATCCTGGGTTCTTCCTAACCCTCATGCTCTGTCCTCCGCCCGTCGTCTCTCGCCCCTTATCAAATTTCTCTTCGGCCCTTGTCGTGGCCCAGCCTCCTCCCCCCCGCCTGCGCCTCCTTTCCCGCGCCCCCCCCTCCCGCCCCCTGCGCTGCTCATCCCAGTCCTCTTCATCCCCGTCGTCCTCCTCCCTCCCCCCCCCCCCCCCCCCTCCCTCCCAGCGCCTCTCCCTCCGTCGCCCCCGCGCAACGGGGTCGGGGGCGCCGACGGGGCGGTGCCCGGGCGCGCCGCGGGCTGCAACCCACGCAGCAGGCGCGGGGGCACAGGAAAGGGGCATAGCGAGGACGGGGAGGAGGGGGGGAGGAGGGGACGCGGGGCGATGATTCGTGGGCGGGAAGGATGAGGAGTGTGAAGCACAGGCTGCGCGGCGCTCGCATTGCCGCACCCGCAGACAACGCTGTGCCCCATGGGTCTGTGCGCTGCTCTAAAAGCACTGCGGTGTTCCCAGGCGTTGTGGACCTCGCTGCATTTCTTCTGCATGTAGGCGTTCTCGTAAGGTCCCCATGTGATTTGCGGTGCTCACAGGGCCCGCTCGTGATCGCAGGCACTGCCGCGCTGGCGTGTGGGGGTGCCGCCCATCAACTCACCATCCTAAACTTGTCATTGTTTCTGGATCAAGGTTCTGTGGTAGAGTTTACGCAAGTGCAAGTGAGCCCCGACTGCGGCGCCTGCAGACTCGGCAGCCAGGACCAGAGTCAGACATTTTTTTTCGCCATGGCCAGCGGCCGCTGTTCGAGGCCCCGCAGGTCGAGATGCAAGGCGGCTCGCTGGGCGACATGATGCAAATGGACTTGCCCGATGTCGGCGACGCCCTGCTTGTCGACGCGGCGCCGCCGAGGGGCGCCTTCGAGCCCCCTGGCTCCGCCGAGGGGCGCTTCAGACGCGGGGTCAGCAGCGTCGCCGTGAGCGTCGCCCCCAGTGCTGATGATGGGCACGCGGCCGCCCATGATGGCGCCCAGGGGGGGGGGGGGGGGGGGGGGGGGCGCGAGGGCGCCGCCAGCGTGGCGGTGGATGGCGCCGCGGGCGCCGAGGAGGTGCCCGTGTCCGATCCCACGGGCCAGAAGGCCGAGGCGGAGTTCAAGTTGATGGGCGTCTGTCCGTTGGGGATGTTCGAACATGCGTCTGCGGCGGCGCCAGCGGTGGCGACGGCCCGAGACAATCTGGCCAAGCCAGTGGAACCGCAGTTTGAGGGCGATGGCTATGTGGGCCAGGCAGCGGAGCTTGATCATGAGCCGCTGCTGGACGGCGAGGGGGAGGCGAGCCTTCTCGATGACGACGACCGCAGGATCAGCCCCTCGTCTGCGTCGGCGCCGCTGCCAGCAGGGGCATCTTACTCCAATTTGCCAGGATCAGGGGCGCGGCCAACAACTGCGCGAACGAGATGGAGACGCCGATTTGGTTCGCGGACATCGCGCTCGGCGCAATGCGCGCCCTTGCAAGGAGATTGGAGAACCGAGGCGAGGCAGACGTGTTTAATGCGGCACCTTACGACGTTCAGGCGGCCTACAAGCAGCTAGTGGTGCGCGTGAGGGCCATGATCGAATTGCACAAGGTGGTCAAGCAGCGGTCTGAGTCGACGGGGGGCACCGCTCTCGAGGCTGTTTTGACGCCTTTGTCTGCTCTGTCGGGCCACCGCCTGACAGTCGGAGGTGTCGTGAACGAGGATCTGAACATCATCGCCAACTACGCGATGTTCATATGGGACCTCGTCGCGCCAGGGGTCCATCTCGGCGGCGCTCCGCGCGTTCAAGGCAGAGGCGTTCGCCCGCGTGGTGGCGGCTGGGGATTTCAGCAACTCTATGCTCGACCAGCCAGGGGGCGCAGCGAGCGCAGTGAAGGGGGGCGGCGAGGGCGCCGGCCACGCGGCAGCCGCTCCGCAGCCGCCGAAGAAGAAGCAGCGCCAGAAGCGAGCCATTGGCGACGTGGAGGGCAGAGTGGTCCAGGGCCAGACACCCCTCTTCTATTTGGCCGCGATGGTCTCGGTCGGCGTCCGCGCCCGGCTGGGCGACCTCAGCGATGCCGCGACCAAGGGCGACGCCATGGTCATCGGCATCATCGACGATATCGATGACATCTACGCGGCCTGAACCTCGAAGGAGAGGCAGATCGAGACGTCCGTGGAGGACGAGTCTTTCTCGGAGGTGATTTGTCGCCAAAACTGCTCTCGCTTGCCCTGCGCGCCCTCAGCTCTCGCTTCTCTCGCTATAGTCATGCTTGTCGTCGCCGCAGATCGCGCTTATTACCCTTAAGTTCTTATCGTCGTCCTTGTCCTAACGGCCGTTGCCCTCTTCTTCGCGGCCGTGGTCTACTTCTCGGGATTGTGCCCCATGTTTCTTGCGCCCTCCCGTTCTCGCTTCCCTCGTCCTTGTGGTCGTCGTCGCGGTCGTCTCGCTTCATCGTCGTTGGTCGTCGTCGCGGTCGTCGTCCTCGCCTTCTCCTCGTCCGCCATCCTCCTTCGCGGGCAGAGTAGTCTTGGCCCCGCAGGTGCTGAGGAGCACGGCCGCGGTCGCTAGGCGCGCATATCCCACGGAGAAGCTCAGGCCCGCCACGAGCGCGACGAGGAGAGCCCGGAGGGCCATCGCCGAGCAGGTCAAGCAGCCGAGCAGCCCCGCGTCGAAGCCTGCGCGGTCGATGTGCGCCCAACCAGTTCCGAAGCTGGTGATGGAAGCCAGTCGGCTTCACGTGAATCAGAGCATCGAAGACGAGACCGCGACGACGGCCTTCAGAATCATCTCGGGCTCCTTCGAATCCCATTTCGACAAGCTCTTCGAGGACGCGCGGCAGTGGGAGGTCGTCGTGCTGAGTGACATTGCCGACCGCGCCGACGGCGGGTACATGAGGCTCCAGACGTACTTCGCAGGCATGGGTCTTTTATTCGCTGGAGTTTACTCGGCGCTTACGGAATGGATTTCAGCATGCGTGCAAGAAGCGCCCCGTTCTTCGTGGCCAGCATTTCGAACGGCTTTGCTATCGTCGAGGTCGGTAAGTCCATGATCGCGGCGGTCCGCTGGGAATGCGCGGGATCGACCGGCTTGTGGACGGGGAACTTGCTTCTCGAGGAACTGAATCGCCCAGTCAAGGTATCTGGCGCGGCCGAGGATGATGCGGCACGGGCGCGTCGGGGGCTGGTCGTTGCTGAGTTGAAAGCGTGCAAGGAGAGAACCCGGAAGATCCTGGATGGCATGCCGCGCTTCTTCCAGACCCTTGGCGACATGCACGCTCGACTCTTGAAGAGCAGGAACTTGGCCCGCCAGCGCATGGGCGACATCTCCATGACCGAGATGGGCGAGGGCCACAAGGCTATGGGCCTTGTCATGTACGACAGCGCTCCTCACCACGTCCAGAGCAGAATCACCGACATGACGATCTACCTGAGGTACTGCATTGACCATGCGGGCTCGCAGGCGAATGGCATGGCCGCCGATCGGCGCGACGAGTTCACGGGTGGCATGATCAAGTTCGCTGGCCTCCAGCGCTTCACGGTTGGCAGCTGCTGGTCGAACTTCTCCGATTCCTCAGTCGAAGCCCTCGCGACCGACGGGGGGCACGTGGACATGATCCGCAACGCTTTCGCCGAGTTCAAAGATTATGTAGGTTCCGTTGGCGTCGCCCCCATCTCCGCGTGCCGAACTTGGGCTCCATGCCAAACAGTGGTTTTCGGTGTTCATTTTTGGTTTACGGGGGGGTAGCTTTATATTGTGCCAGGGCGCTGTCTTCGGGGCTGGGGTCTTAGGGCGTTGGGATAAGCCGAAGGGGACTAATTGGACGGGGTCGGGCAGATGCCCGCACAGGTTCGCAGGTCTACACGCAGTGCTCCGGCAAGTTCGCGGAATCAGGCATGGCAGACATCTCCCCGACCCTGGGCTTCACTATCGACATCGTGAGCGAGCTGGCGATCGCGGAGGGCAGCGATGACACCGCGTTCGAGAGGTTGGATGCGAATTTCATATCCTTGGAAGGCCTCTCCCCTGGCGGTGCTAATTTCGTGGACGGCGGCGAGAAGGATGAAGAGTCCAGCAGAGTCAACTCATCACATGGCCCTCTCGGACTTGGTCGCTTTTCTGGATGCGAGTGGCATCGCATCCTTCAGCATCCCAGGCGTGAAGATGAACGGTGGCGACGAGTGGGTGCCCGCGGATATCTCAGCCGCTTACCTGAAGATGATGACGAACATCAAGGACCTCACCGCCATTGCGGCGGTGACGCGTCACAACATGTTCGTGAAATTCAAGGGCGGTGAGAAGACGAAGGATGAGGACGTCGTGGCCATATTCGGCAGCTCCGTGCACGCCCAGTGCCTGTTGGCGAAGGCGCTCGTCAGGATTGACGCCATGATGGCTTCGAAGAGATGCATTTGCTGGGATGCTCGAGCTGCGCTGGTCCAATTTCCGTTCAATCCGTGAGGCAGTGGGCAATGTCAATGTCTGTGTTTGCAGGCCGCTGCAGCTCGAAGCTGCTGAAACTGATGGTGGAGGTCGTCATGGGGGGCGCTGCCGAATGCAAGGAGATCGTGCCCGACTGGAACGCCGTCATGGCCCAGCAGGCGGGCGTGCTCAACGAAACGCCGGCGGCAACGCAGCTCAACGACCTGGAGCAGCTCGCGGGCTGGCGCAACACCGTCCACAAACACTTGCGGTGGCTTTCGAGGGCGGGCGGGCTGACGGAGCTGACCCCGTGAGCCCAGCGGAACGACATCACCGCGGAGAGCGTTGCCGTGGCCATGGCGTGCACGGCCGAGGGTTTTCAATTTGTTTTGGGGCCGCCTCGTGGCTGGCTTGTCAGTCGGGCATTCCCTTTTCACCAAGTTTTATCTTTATGCTCCTTTCCCTGCCTCCCCCCTTCCCCATCATCTCCACGGGGCTGCGCTGATGGGCGACCCGGCCAGATGCGCCGCGCATTCATTGATTGGCCTTGCAGGGGGCGACGAGGCTGCCGATCACCACGACCGGGGGCGTCCAGATGCTGGCTATCTTGCGCAATGAGCCTGGCGGGCCCACTCGCGGCCAGAGCTTCGTCAGCGAGAACGAGGGGAATAACCCTGACATCCCCAGAGGGTTCTGGAACGAGCTGGAGTCCGTCGCGGCCGAGGGCAGCGGCGTCGAGGAGAGCGCCTCGGCGACGGGCAAGTCGGCGGACGGCAGCGCCGCGGGCGCCGCGACGCAGAGGACGCCGCCGCCCAAGGGCGCCGCTGCGGCGGGGGCGTCGGGACTTCGGTTTCCAAGACCAAGCAGGAGATCGGGGCGGGCGTCGACGCTGGAGCAGCTGAGCCAGGCGGCAGCGGCCCCGCGGCAGCAGAGCAGCCGCGCCGCCTTGCCAGCGAGCGCTCTTGGTTCAATCGCACGAAGCTTGAGCAGTAGACAAATCTGCCATAATCGACTTTAGGGTGGGCAGGGTTCGATAACACAGAACATTGCTACACGCATGTATGTTTAGCATGGATGGGGCGGTTGATATGGCAGGAGTAGGGGGCGTGGAGGAGGATGATGAGCCATCATTCGCAATGCGCTTGGCCGCCACGACCAGTAACAGCGACGACAGTCGATGCACCCGAGTTTTTGGGGTCTTCGAGTGGATATGTAATTCGGATATCGATGCAGATTGCAAGTGGCGGTGGGGAAGTTGCTTCTGACGCGAGGGCCCTGGGATTTTCAAGCGAGAAGTTTCGCTTGCGAAAGGGGCGCCTCGCTGGCCCGTTGTCGCTGATCGCCGCCTAGGCCCGGCGAGCTGCCGACCCCGATGGGCGCGGCGCGGCGCAGCTCGGCGGGCGCCGCGCAGGGGGGCGCGGCGTCCAGGAGGGGATCGCACGCGAGGAAATATTGAACACAAGCCAGTGCCTGGAGTCAGACGCGTCGCGTCAGCGTTGGCTGATCGGGGCTGCCCGCCGCGATGAGTGCATGGGTGTGCGTGTGTGTGTGTGTGTGTGTGTGTGTGTGTGGCCTCGCTGCCCCTGCGAGCTCTCCTCGTGATCCCACCCGCGCTTTCTCGCAGTGGCTGGGCGGCGAGATGCTGCGAGTTGGAGGCGCTGGCGGTCAGGGATGGTGGTGATCTGCTGCATTGGTTATGTCCATTACCCCTTTCTTTGTCCATCCCTCTCAATCGCACCCCGTTCCTGGTCCCTCGTCGCCAGGTTTAACCAATTTCGTCCTCCTTCGCCCTTCCTCCTCCCCGTCGCGCGCCCCTGCCCCCTCGCGTCGCTTCCCCGCGCCCGCGCGCCTCCGCCCCCTCTCCGAGACGCTGTTGCGATTGGGGCTCGGCGTGTTGATGCCGCGCCGTGCCGCGATTTGTTCGCGCGCCGCTGCGTCGGCCCCGGGGCGGGCGGGGCCCGCGCGCCCTCCCCGGGGCAGCGCGAAACGGCGGCCGCGATGAGGGGGAGGCATTCGTCAGTTTCGGCGCGCCCGCGCGGGCATCGCGTTCCGCGAGGGGCTCCACCTCAGGCTTCAGAAACTTCAGCCAATCGGAAGCATGCCGCGAGTCCGTAGCCATTTTCGCTCAAGCAGCACCCGCGTCAGTTTGTCCCGACGCAGGCGGGGTCGCCCACGGCGGTGCTCGACGCCGTGGCCGGGCGGGGCAAACGCAGCGCGGCGGCTATGGTGCCAGACGGCAAGTGCGCCAAGTATCACAAGACCCGCTTGATCAACGCGCCGCCCAGGAAGCGCTAAAGAAGAAGCTGACGGAGCAGAAGGGCATCGTCGAGTGGGCGTGCGAGACTTTGGGGAACATGCTAGTCCAGCCTAGGGGGAAGAAGGGCGCCGCGCCCGCCTGGGTCACCAAGGGGGTCAATAATGTCGGCGCGGGCGGCGCGCAGCAGGGCGCGGGCAAGGTCGGGGGCGACGGCAAGGGCTCCGCGAAGGAAGGGAAGGGTAGGCCGATTCCGTGCGCCTACATCCCGACGTGGGTTCTTGACGGCCCGTCAGAGTTCTACGGGCCGTCGTGGGCAAACGCTTCGTTTTCGTCGCGAGCGGCCCGCCTTCGTCGTGAGCGGCCAGTCCAGCCGTGCAGGGGCTCGTTTAACTTCCAGCCGCGGGCTTCGTGAGCCGCGCAGGGACCGTTTAACTTCCAGCCGCGCAGGGGCCGTGAGGAGCCCGTCCAGCCGCCCAGCCATGGGCTTGGTGAGACGCGGCATTTCCGCTTCGTAGTGCATCGGTGCAGGCGTTGTGGCTTAGCCGAGCCCCCTCTCCCAGGGCGCCCGCCCGTCGACGTTCCGCATCTGGCAGGCCGATGCCTGATGCGAAAAATATCACTGTCACCATTGCTTTGCATTCCGCCGCCCCTCCCCCCTGCAGCCCCCCCCAGCCCCCGCGCCTGGGGCCACAGGCGACGAATGCCCCGACGACGATGGCGACGACGATCGCGACGACGACGATGACGACGACATGCGCAGGACGGCGACGACGGAGGCCCAGTGCCACGGTGGAGATTTTTCAGTAAGCCCTTCACCTCATTCCTCCTTCATCCGCCTCAGGTGCAGTAGCATGACCCGGGTAACGTTATACTTCATCGTTGTAAGGCAACTTGGTATCTCGGTATCGCAGCACAGGTAGTTAGCACGCGTGCAGTAGTGTAGGATTGTACATCATAGGCCGACGCGCAGTATCGTAGTATATATGTTTCGCTCTCAAGCGCAAGGTTGTGATCGACCCGAAACTAGGCGAACCAAGGGCGTCTTGCAAACCGAGTTGATTGTTGGACTGCGTGGCCGTCTGTTGTGATTCCCCCGAGTTTCTTCCACGACTGCGACGCCGTCTGCTCTGACTTTCCCGAGTTGCTTTGACGTTTGCAAGGCAGGTCGTCTTGACTTACCCTCTGCGTGGACGAGTGTCGCGGCCGTTCGTCTCGACGCACGTGCCCCCCTGCAACTCTGCCCCCCCGCGCCCCTTCGAGATCTAAATCCTCGGGGCCGTGGAGGCGCGCGTCGTGGGCGTCGAGGGCGGGCGCGCGCCCGACATCTTCGAGGAAGAGATGAGACGGCGAGCAGTAGATGTCAGGGCGCCCCGGCAGCGCGGCAGGCGCGTCGAGCGACGAGGCGCAGTGCTGCGGTGCGCCCTCCACGCCGCTGAGGAACAGGCGCGGGGGGCTCTCGGTCGACTTCGATTTCCCGCTGGCCATTGCCACTTTCGCGGGGCACAGCCGCGCCTTCGCGGGCGGAGTCGCGCCCTGCAACGTCGTCTTCGGCCGGCAGCCTGCCCTGCTGCCCCCGCTGGAGATAGGCGTCGCCGCGTCAGCAGTAAGCGGCGCGTAAAGTTCGCGCGCGGTTCCCGGAGTGCAACGATTCGGCGTTTGTCGCGTCAGGTCTCGCGGAATACGCGCGCGATCGCCCAGCAGGGCTCGGGCGCCCGGGAGGGGGGGACTAGCCAAAATTGATGCACGTGATGAGAGGATCCACGTGAAGGGTGGGGCCGCAGGGGGGCCGGCCCCTTAGGCCCCGGCGGTGGAACCCAGGCAAGTAGGCTGCGCAGGATCCGAGAGATCGCCTGGCAGCGGATGATCGAAACAACCTCGACGGCGCGAGTGAACCGTGCATTCAAGACCCACACCTCGCACTCAGGACAGCTACGTTTCAAAGTTGGCGACGCGGTGGAGGCGCATCGGCCCGCGCCCGCCAGGGACCTGTCTTGCTGGGCGGGGCTAGCGACGGCCATGGCAGTCAGCCCCTCTCAGGGCCAGGCCACGGTCAAGTATTGAAATGCCAAGACGCTCACCTGTGCTGTCTGCGACGATGTGGGCGCTGGCCTCGCTTGAGCTGGGCTCGCCTGTGACATGGTGCAAAAGCACCTTAAGGGCGTGGATCAAGGATCGGGGCCATCACTGTCGGCTTTTGGGAGGGCGGCGCGGGCGCGCACTTGTCCGAGCTTGCGCGACAGCAGCCGGAATTCACTTAGGCCCTGCAGCACCTGGTCAGAACCTTCGCGCGGCTGTCCAACGCGTGCGTCGCGCGCCTCGCACGGGGCCAGTTGCGACAGGGGGTCTGGCCAGGAGGTACTCGCAGCGCGATCACGCCCTGGCATGAGGAGACCTCTTTCGAGGCGGAGCAAGCGCGCCTCCAGGGCGCCGAGAACAACGCGCCACATCCTGACCACGTCACAGCACGCCTCATGCAGTTCATCATGTGCGACGACGACCTTCTGATGGCCGACGCCAGCGCGGGCCCAGGGGCAACGCGCCCCCAGGGGGGCCCGCCTTCTGAGTTTCTCGCGATCCTAGAGGAGTCGAGGAGTCTGCCAACCGTGACGCACCAGCCGCTGACGCCGAAGAGGCTATGCTGGCGGCGTGGCGCGATGTCGAGAATGCGGGCCCAGGGATTCGGAGGCAGAGCTGCAGTTGGTGGAGTCCGCCAGGGGCCAGCAGCTGATCTGCGCAGCTTTTGAACAGGCAGCCGCTGGCATGGGGCGTCGGTTTGCCAGGTGGCCTGGGCATGTGGAGACAGCCCAGCAGAGGCAGGTCATCCACGAGGCCTGCCGCAACCACCTTTTGGAGGAAGGCGCGGACGAGCGCGCGCAGATGGACGAGGAAAACGACGGCGGCAAGCGCGCGGAATTCTTACTCGCGCGCGGCAGCGAGTCAGCCATTCTCAGCCACGACAGGCCCACTGATCAGATTGGCGTGTCGGCCACCGACTCCTGCGAGAGAGAGAGAGAGAGAGAGAGAGAGAGAGAGAGAGATGTGATAGGTGGCTCGGCCACGGGCGCCCCCCAGGCAGCAGTCCTCAACGTCTACGTCGCGGCCGAGACCGCGGTCATCAATCGCGACGCCGACCTTCCATCGAGGGGGGGGCGCCCAGTCAGCCCAGGGAGGTGAACGCCCGCATTCAGGAGGAGTTGGCCACGTGGGCCAAGCACCATTGCTTTGAGCGTCAGCCGCTCAAGTGCGCTCGCAACGTGATAAGCCCACGACGCGTCTTCAAGTGGAAGCGCCGGAAGGGGTCGCGTGGTAAAATGAATATCATCCGGCGCAGAACGGGTCTGGGAGGCTACCGCGACATGGGGGCTGGAGCCATGCGAGCTTTCGCTGGCGCAGCTCATCGGGGGTCGCGGCGACTGGTCTCCTCGGAGGCGGCGCCTAGACCGGAGCGGGCGGGCGCGGCCGTGGACGTTCAGAAAGCTGTCTCGCGGCTGGTGATGCGCGGGGGGATGCGCGGGCTCGCGGGCGAGGCGCCTCCCCAGGCGAACCTCGCGGTGCTGTCAGGCAGCGCTGCTTTGACGCGACAGTTGCGAGGCTACGAGACGTTCGGCGAGAGCGCGGAGTGTCCGCGCTGAGTCGTTCCCTGGGACTGGGCGCGCGGACGCGCCCCGAGCACGTTCCACGAAGCTCGCCTGGGTGGCTACATCGCAGGGGCCGCTCCTTTGAAGTAGCCGCCCAGGCGAGCTCGGGAGCGCGGCGTCGAGCCAGCCGCTCGCGCTCCATAGGGGTGCAACGCCGAGCCCGCCACTTGGGATCCTCGCCTGGAGGTTCAGCACGAGGTGGCTGGTGGCTAGGCACCTCAGGCACCTCAGGCATGCGCAAGTGGCGGCTCGGCCACTAGCGCTTCCAGCGTGGAGCTTGCGCTGGTGCCGGGCAAGCATAGAGGCGATCTTGTGCTCGCTGGGCAGAAGAAGTTCGTCGACCAGTCGACCGCGCATTTTGAGCAGGCGTTCGGCATGGCGAGCGGGGATTACGAGCCCCGCACGAACTGCGGCGTTGGCGGGCAGCGAAGCGCTGACAGCGCTACGGAGATGGGCCAGCACGAGTACATCGACGCATTCATCACAGTCATGCGCGCTGACCCGGCGAAGAGGGATTCGGGCCAGGCCGCGGAGGGTCCGCTACTTGATTGTTCGTGAGCCTGCTGGGACCAGCTGCGCGCGCACTGCTTGCCCAGCACCGCCCTGCCGCGCGCGTCGTGGCGCTGCGGAGGGCCAAGGGTGAGTTGCTCGTCGGACTCGAGGCTCCCCCCCTCGTCCCTTGACATGGAGTGCGCTGGGAAACTGGCGGCTCGCAGCGACGGCTCCTTCGCGCGCGAAGTGGAGCCGGGATTCGGCATGAGAGAAGCAGCCTGCATGAGGCTTGGCCGCAGTCGCTTATCCGACGAGGAGGTCCGCCGCCTGCTGGGCGCTGCGACCAGATCCACAAGTTGATGCGCATATTGAATTTTGATATGAACTGCCTTTTGCTTTTAGATCCGCCAACCTGAGCGCCTTCCTGCTGGGGCCCCACGGGATGAAGCGCGATCCTGCCTCCCCCGGCGAGGCGCGCAGGCTTCGAGAGGAGGGGGGATATGCAGCCTCGGCGGAGATCGCCCTCGACGGCATGTCCGCCTTCTGGTTCGGCTCTGGAACTGCAGCGGGTAGCTGCAGCACTGAAGTCGTGCGCACCGAGCTGCTGCGAATGCACATTTGCGACTCAACTTGTCGACTGATTCCGAAATTTGTGAGGAATTGCTGTTTTACAACAGCACGCACTTCATGATTCAATTTGAGCAGACAACGGCATGGTACGACTTCGCGGCTTGACTTTTTTATGTGAGTGCTCGCCCTCTCTCTCTCTCTTTTTTTTTCTCTCTCTCTCTCTCTCTCTCTCTGTCTCTCTTTTATTATCTCTCGCTCTCTCTCTCTCTTTCTCTCTCTCTCTCTCTTTCCTCTCTCTCTCTCTCTCTCTCACCGTGGGGTGATGCGGGCGCCTTTTGAGGCTGGCAAAGCGGAGAGGGCATCCACATGTGGCTAGGTTGCGGTGTCTGCGTTGCTCCATGACTGGGCGCGGTTCCTGAGGGAGCAGAAAACGTCATTATGGCACCAATCTCGAACGGCACCCTGTCGCGTGTCGTCGCTGCTTTCTCGGCCTTCCACGATCCTACCGTGCCCGTGTTGTTTTCCCTTGTTGGAAAGCAACACTAGCTGTTCCTACCCGTGTTATCTTCTTTCCTTGTTCACGAGGATAAAACATCTGACCGTCTCAACCTTTTCTACCTTCCTACTACTCATCCACTTCTCTCTCCTCCACCACCGCCCCCTCGTCCTCTTCCATCTCCTCCTCCTCCTCTCCCTGTTTCTCGTCCTCCATCCCCTTCCTTACCCTCTTCCGCCTCCGTCTCCTCCCCCTCCTCCTTTTCTCGTCCGCCTTCTCGTCCCCCTTTTCCTTCCGTTTCCTGATTTTCTTTTCTCCTGACCCAGCCGTGTCGCAAACGCCCACGGAGCGCAGGCTTGGATTCCTGGGGCGCGTGCTGCCCCATGCCGGCCGCCGCCGCGGACTGCCGCCGCCGTCGCCGCCGCCGTCGCAGCCGCCGTCGCAGCCGCGGTTGCCGCCTCCGCCGCCGAAGACGACGAAGGCAGCGGCGGCGGCGGCGGTGTCGAAAGGCGGCGACGACGGTAACGGCGGCGACGTCGCCGTCGACGCTGCCTGCCGCCGCCTGCCGTGGTCGCCGCCATGGGGGCGCAGGCGTGGATCCCAGGGCGCGTGCTGCGACCCGGCGCCGCGGCGGGCACCCTGGACTTGGACTGCAAGGAATCGGCGTTGCCAGAGGTGTCCCTGGCCCCAGGCAGGGTCCTCCTCGATCCAGTCGATCCGATTCGATGTCGATTCTGGCGACAAGTACGGTTTTTCCCATCCAGGCGCTTTTCTTCGAATTCGGTTTCCGATGCCCGTTATCAGGACCTGGGACCATCAAAACCGGATCGGGGAGGAGAACCGTCGCCCGCGGAAGGCGTCGGGGTCTCCTGGGGCCGCGCATTGAAAGAATCCCTCGCCCAGGGACGGGTCCGTTTCGATCCGTTCGACCCGCTTAGATGTCGATTCCTGCCAGCTCGATCCGATTCGATTCGATTCGATCCCGATGCGGCGATCCGACGCGGCCCGATGCCCGCGTGGCGCTGCCTGTGCAGACTGGATCCGACGCACGTTTCGATCGGCTCCTCCTGCTCCTCCTCCGCGTGTTGTTCCTCCTCCTCCTCCTCCTCCTCCGCGTTGCCGATGCGATGCCGGCTGCTCCTGCAAGGTGCCCCCCCGGGTCTTGCAGGGGGGGCCCCCGCGGCCTCCCGGGGGCACGCCTCGCGGAGCCGGGAGCCGGGGCCCCCTTTCGCGGGTGCAGAGGTGGCGCGGTGAGCGGGGGGGCACCCTCCCAGGTCCCGGAGGCGCTCTTCGGCTGCAAGTGCAGTCGGACCGAGGTACAAGATCTCGGAGGGCACCAACTATACACCTACACCGATCCAGCCCAGGCCGATCCTAGGCCCAGGATCGGTGTATATGCATTCTGCCCATGGCAGGAGGGCGTATACACCGATCCTGGGCCCAGGCTGATCCTGGCCAGGATCGGTGTTGGTGTATAGTTGGTGCCTCCCTAAAGATCGTGGTCGGTTCGGGGAGGGTGCCCTAGTGTTCTTCGTGTTTGTTGAATGTTCTTGTGCATCCTGGGGGGGTACCCTCGAGTGCTCTTCAGTTTGGGCCGGCAGAGTGTCTCATGTTCTTGAAGGATGCACTTCTGTCCTACATAGGTCCGACTGTAAGAGTGACCTCTCGCAGGAGTGGCCTTTTGTGATCGGCGCCCCCCGATCGCTGAAATCGCTGCGATAGCAGCGGCTTGCGTACTCGGGTTTGGGCCCCCCCGCGCCCACCTGGGGCGCTCCCAAGAGGGCCATGCCTTCGAGGATCGGAGGAGTTGCCACCTCTTCCGCGGTGGATGGCGGCGCAAGGTCGGCGGAAGTGATGCGGCGGCGGCTCCGAAGCAACAGCCCACCCCCCAAGAGACGGACCGGAGATCGTCGCGCCGCCGCCCTGGAGAATGGCGCCCATCTGGCCCAGGCTGCGATGCGCGAAGCGCGATTACAGTAGGAGCCCGACCACAAGAAGCCTTCTACAAGAGACCCCCAGGAGGGAGGAGGGGGAGGAGGAGGGGAGGAGGGGGAGAGGGGGAGGAGGAGGGAGGAGGGGGAGGAGGAGGAGGAGGGGGAGGAGGAGGAGGAGGAGGAGGAGGAGGAGGAGGAGGAGGAGGGGGAGGAGGAGGAGGAGCCAGCCCTGAGACCCTGAGACCCCCCCAAAGAGCCTCGCCGCTCGTGCCTCTAGGGGCCGCCCCTGCGTGCGGCCGAGCTCTGCGCCGCGTTTTTCGCCCCTGGCAGGCCGTCCGAGGCTCCTCCCCCGGGGGCCGGCCGCCCAGCCCGAGCCGTTCCGGGGGCGGGCGCTGGCCTGGCAGCGGCGCCCAGGGTGGTGGGCCTGTTTTCCACCACCACCACCATAAGTAGGAGGGGGATGGGGTCATCCTCCTGCTCCTCCTCCTCTTCGTCCTCCTCCTCCTCCTCGTCCTTCACCCCCTTCCCCCCTCCAACTTATGGTGGTGGTGGTGGAAAACAGGCCCATCACAGGGGGCGAACATGGGCGGGCTCGCGTGTGCATGTTTTCTTGGCGAGGACCGTCGAGGGGCGTCTGGGATCCCAGACCCCTTCGAGTAATGAACAAATCACTACGGGAGGTTTTTCCTAATTTTCGACCTCTGGGGGCCCTCACCGGGCCTCGGGAGCGTCAAAAAACAACTCAGGATGGCAAGCCGGTCATGGGGAAAGGGTCGGGACCTCTGGAGGGCGACGTAATGAAAAAATCATTACGTCGGGGATCATCGAGCAGAAACAGCACGCGCGAGGCCGAACAGATGCAGGCGGGTGGTGGCGGGCTTCGCGACGGTTGATCAGGACGATTCGGGCGCCGCCTGAACGCTCTCGATTCGGCGCAGTTGCTGCAGAGCTCCCGAGGCGAGAGACCTCCCAGGTGCCGACGGGAGTTCTGCGGGGGCGGCGGGATCGTCGGAGATTTGGGTTGTGCGCCCAGAATCGCCCCCCTGGGCCCTCAAGGGGTCCATCTGGCAAGGTTTTTGAGCTGAGTCCAGCCTTGGCAGCGAGAACCCTTAGAAACGTTTGAAACCTTCCGCAACGACGTCGTCGACTTCGTCTTCTGCCTCCGATCCCCCTCCATCGCCGCCTTCAGCAGGAGGCGAGCAGACCTCCGAGAACCGACGAGGCGGGAAAACTTGCAGACGAGATACAATCTTCCGGGGATCCCCCCTGACTTCCGCCGACATGTTTTTTCAAACCGCTCGTCGACTCCCGCACCGCCCAGCCCACCGACTCCCTCGCCGACCAGTTCGCCGACCCCCGCACCGTCCAGAGGGCTGCCTGCCGCTTCGACCAGCATGCAGGCTCCCTCTCCGCCCAATGCACCGTCTTCCTCGCCGCCTGGCTCGCCGACCCCCGCACCGTCCAGCTCAACGACTCCCGCGCCGCCCAGCTCGCCGGCTCTCGCACCGACCAGCTCACCGACTCCCGCGCTCACAAGCTCGCCGACTCCCTGGAGCGGAAATTCGGGCAGTTCTCACGATGCGAGCTAAATCATACAACGCATCGGCGCCGAGCGAGGAGAAGCGACGAGGAGGAGAGAGGGGCCGATTTTCTTGCCTGGCGAGCAAGACCTGCTGTGCTGAGCGCGGCCTACGCGGCCTACTACCTTAAGGCCGCGTGCGCACCTCACGAATCATTGCTCACCCCGCAGAGGAAGGACAGGAAGGGGTGCTGGGGTGGACTCGGAGCGCTGTCGGAGGCAAGATGGGGGAGAGGGGTCGAGTAAGACAAAAGGCTGCCCGATGGGCGCTGGCCGCACGCCCTCACGACCCAGATCGCGGCCTGCCGCGTCGACCAGCCTGCCGGTTCCCTCATCGACCTGCTCACCGACTCCCCCCGCCGACCAGCTCGCCGACTCCCGCGTCGGCGAGCTCACCGACTCCCGCACCGGCCAGCACGAGGCCGGGCACGTGGTCACGGAGATGTTCTGACGAAAGTGGCGCTGAGGCTTCGCATCTGGTTGGGAGCGCTGCGGGTGAGAGTGCCGAGTGGTCGTTCGTGCCTGTGCGATTCCGTCAGTTACCTGTTTCCCTCTCTCTTTCCGCCTTCCCTTCGATCGCTGTTTTGCATTGCATGTTCGTCTCCAGTTTCTTCAATTTTCACTGGCGTTGGTCCCCCGTTCCTCGGGGTGGCGCCCACCGCCTTGGGGGCGTCAGGGGCCGGTTTGCTCTCAGAGCTTCCCGTTCCCTGTGCCTCCCAATCCCAGGTCTGGCTCCACACTGATCTTCGTAGTTGCCTCGCCGTTCGCGTCTTCCCTGCTGCTCCCTTCCGCTCTTGTTGCCAACTCAGGTGAAGGTGCTTGCGGTTCAAACGGCCCGCCCGTCAACAAGACCAGGCGCTGGGTCGGCACATTCCCAATAACCAATAACTCTCACATCTCAGCACCGTGGGACAACATCGTGGCACCTCCGATCCCCCAGAGCCTACGAGACGATGCCACTCTGAAGATTACCAGAGTTGCGAAGTCATACCCGGTCGACTTCTCCAGCGTGGAGAGCGCGAACTCCTTCGCCAAAATTCGCAGCGGTTTGGATTTGACCTGGTGCAGTCCTCGTGACAACAAAACCAGCATCATCTGATTTAGAAGAGACTGACCTGTCGATGTTGGCAGCATACATTGCAACCTCTTAAGGAAGGAGGTCGACCGCTGGGCAATTCCAAGTTTTCAAGTTCTGTGTCAATGGGTATCAAGGTATTGTGCAGCTTTCATGTTGGGGGACGTTTTTGACTTGTACCACATCACAGGAGCATCTGAGTTTGGTTTCCAGTATGAACCGAACCTTGAGAGCTTCAGGTGCTGGCAGATCGCGGACAAGGATTCGCTCGACCTGATCGAGAGAGTAGCAGCGGCCAGCGGTGCTGGTCGTTAGGAACCTGTGCCACGAGACCACTCTGAAGAGCAAGGAGTGCAGCATGCCTAGCTTCCAGGAGCACATGTTCGCGAGGTCGGCCTCAAGGAGTCGCCTGCTAGTCTAATGTCCACTGTGCCTGCCTGCGCTGTCTGTCCGCTATCTGCTCAATCTTCTGCTAATTCACTTCCCAGTATCCCTACCCCAGTGGCCCTGTACAGTCCTCTCCTTTCGTCATTGCTGAAGGATCCGTAACACGGGCGAATTTGAACGCACGCGCACTATTTGGTAGTGCTTGGGCCTCCAATGTTTTTCAGATTCGTTGCTTGAAATGCCTTCGGAAGGCTTCTGAAGAAACGTGACATTGTTATGATCCAGGGGGCCCATGATAACGAAGAGGACCTCAAAGAGCTCCGTCGTCGGCTCCCCAGGTTTAGGGCTTTGGGGTCCTTCATGGAATATGAGACCGCTGGAGGAATCGTGATCATGGTCCGTGAAAGGATCGTTTTCCTTGTCGAAGTTTTCGTGGCCCAGGAACTCATCAAAAGGCCGAATCGTGATAGTCCAGCTGGCACTCTCCAGCTCGTCAACCTCCACATCGACCCCGTTCTCTCTCGCGCTGCCATCGAGCGCAAGGTTCGTCAGGTTGCGACGGAGTCTCTAGGCATCGAGTCGGCCACCACCTTGCTTGCTGGCGATTGCAATTTCTGCGCAGCTGGGGAGGGACGGCTGTGCGCCAGAGATGGCGCCACGATTGCTTCCCTCTCCACCTCTA